GGCGCGGGGGAGGGCGCGCTCCGCACCGGGACGGGGTCCCCGCCGGCCAGCGCCACCCCACCCCCACCCCCCGGGGATGCGCTCTCGCCGTTCCCCGCGCTTTCCGCCGCCGCAGCCCCGCTCTCTGCGCGCCTCCCCGCCCCCGGCGTCCTGGAGGCAGGGAGCCTCCCACTGGCCAGATGTGGAAGGCGAGTTCAGGGACTTAGAAGGACCGAGATGCCCCGAGATGGGAGCACTTCGCGCGGGAGACCCCTGGCTGTGCTCCAGCCCCAGTGACCCCAGAGCCTCCTTGGGTACCACCCGGCATCGGTGGGCCGGGGAGAGAGGCGCGCGCACCTGGCCGGCTCCTGGGCCGCCTCCCGCTGGCCCCGAGCGGGGAGGTTTGCCAACCTGTGCAGGGGGCTGGCTGGCTGCGCTGCTCCCTGCACTCGGGGGTATTCAAGTGGAACCTTCAACCCCAATCGTCTCCCCAAGGGAGCGAGAGAAAGCCGGCCTCCTGCGTAGGATGGGTTTATCTCGCTTTCCCCGCATAAGCCCCGAGGCGGGACTGATGCTAGGAGCAGCCTGGGTTCCCTTCGGTAGTTTTTGAGCACTTTCCGGGGGCCAGGCGCCCTGCGTGCGAGGCGATGGGCAGGGGGCACTGAAAGCCGAGTTAGACACAGACCACAGAAGGAGGTCACCGTCCGTCGGGCGAAAAGATGGGCACGCATGTGGGCGATGTCCGTATTGTGGACGGGACGGCTGCGCCTGTCCCCTGCCCAGTGCCCCAGCGTAAACGCTGGCCTATATCCCCAGCCGTTCATCCAACCTGCGGGTCTCGGGCCCCTCCCTCCCTTTTCTTCCCTCGCGAATGGTCTTCCTCTCTTGGGCAAAACAAAACAAAATAAAACTTAGTTAATGCTCCTGTACGGCCTGCTACACATATTCATTTATAATCTCGAAACATTTGTTTTTTGTTCAGCTCCCCTTGGAGGCGGGGGCGAGGGGGCGAGGGGGCGGGTTCACTCTGCTTGCACCTAGGACGCGGTGGGAGCTGTGAGATCGCAGCCCTTTCACCACTGAGACGTCCTCCCGGGAACCACGCGCCGCCACCCTGGGAAAGCCCGTGTCCTCCCGCCCGATGCCCGCAGGCCAGAGAGGCCCAGCGTCTAAGGACTGCCTCCCTGGCCCCTGCCCCTGGCCCTGCAGCGGGATCCTTTCTGTGCCCGGGCCGCTCCTGGCTGAAAACACCTTGACCCAGACTCGCTCAACCTCGACTTTGAGTCACATTTTTCCTTTTCGAAAATTACACTTGGAAGAATTTTCAGAAAAAAAATACAAAGACGGTTATTTCTATTATCTCAAATTGACTATCAGTTACATTTTGGTATCGCTGCTTCCAATTATGTTTTTAAATCACTTGGTACAATACATGTACATTGTAAAAAATGAAAACTATGCAGGAAAATACAGAAGATAAAAGAAAATCAAATTTTTATCAGTCAGAAATAACTCTCATGAATATTAGATAAGTCCCAGACATCTTTGTAAACATATATATGGCATAGAAATATATATGGATTATGAATATTATATAAATACCAGGCATTTTTAGACATATATATTATAGAAATATATCTACGTGTGTGTGTGTGTGTGTGTGTGTGTGTGTGTGTATGGATAAATGCAGGGTTAAAATAAATGTCTTAAAATATCAACACCTTATAGTTGCTATTTTTAAATCTAAGATATTTCCTTTTCTCTTAATAGAAGAAAAGAAAGCTAACATGAAGCGGAAGGAATTGTTAAAAGTTAAGTGTTTGGGTTTTTGTTTTGTTTTTTTACTACATTTCCCTCAATAATTCTGGAAGGATTCAGAAGAGATGATGAACAAGAAGAGAGTGAGGTAATGGTGTTTTGTTTGGAGATGGCTCCATGTTAGGAGCAGGCCACTCCCTGCTGGGACGTTAGCTCACCGCCTCCCACCTCTCCTCTCCGTAGGGCACCTCCTGCAGCTGTTAGTTGTGTTATTGTGTTTCACTTGCCACCGTCCATTCTGTATCTGAAATGCCCATGCTTACTTGGGATTGGCTCTGTAATTACAGAAGGTTATGCTCACAACCAGTCCTTCCCTTTCCTACATCTGCTTCCTTTATCTTCAAAATCCACTCATTCATTTATCACGCATGCACCAGGTACCTACAGGACGGGCCAGGTCCCTGCTTTGGAGAAGGTTCCATTTGAGTAAGAAGAGGTAGACAAATAAGCCAATTGGCAAAGGTGCTTTCAACAGTGACAACCGCTATTGAGAGGGTAAATCTGGATGGAGAGCTAGAGAGGGAGGGGGCAGGAGGGAAACCAACTCCAGACAATCTGACCAAGCAGCAGCCAGCCATGCAGACCGGAGAGCGTGTTCCAGGCCAAGGGAACGTCAAGGGCAGAGGCTCGGAGGAACATGGAAACAAGATCATCAATCATTTCACAAAGGCTTATTGAGTCAGACAGGCACACAGTGGCAGCCACGGCGTTCTCCTCCTGGGCCAGGAGTCACGTGTCTTCAGCGAGCCATTCTATCCCCAGCTCAGTGAATTATGTAGAAGCCATGAGTGAATCAATGGACAGACATCCCGGACCTTGTGATAGCAGAAGAAGGGACAGGTGCCAGGTGTAGGAGACGCGCAAAGGGAGCCATCTAATTGGCACAGGCCGCGAAGGCTCCCAGGGGACGTGGAGTCTGAGCGGGACCTGAAAAGCGCTTGCAGTTCTCCAGTTTGACCGAGCGGAGAATGGGGCACTTGAGCCAAGGGAACAGCATGCATGCTTGTGGAGGTTGACAAACTATAAACAGTTCAGGGCCGAGGGAGTATAAATCACTGTTGGAAAAGCGGTGCAGGGTAGGCCAGATTCTGAGAGGCCTCTATTGCACGCCCAGGGATTTAGCCTGGGCCCTAAAGAAAGGAGGGGCTTCTGAGGATCTATGAGCAGGACCAAGACACAGGGGCTGTCTTACTTGGTAGGAAGATGGCCTTGCTGTCAGGCACAGAACAGATTTCAGGGGGACGTGATGAGAAACAAGGAGACCCATTAAGACAGTGATGGCGAACCTATGACACGCGAACTCATTTTTTTGGTTGATTTTTCTTCGTTAAATGGCATTTAAATATATAAAATAAATATCAAAAATATAAGTCTTTGTTTTACTATGGTTGCAAATATCAAAAAATTTCTATATGTGACACGGCACCAGAGTTAAGTTAGGGTTTTTCAAAATGCTGACACGCCGAGCTCAAAAGGTTCGCCATCACTGCATTAGGAGGTGGCAGCAAACATCCTGATAAGAACCAGTAAAGAGCCTGGACCCTAGAAGTTGCTTTGGGAACAGAGAGAAAGGTGAATGCAAAGGACATTTACAAAACCAACCCACATCGCCCAGCCGGTGTGGCTCAGTGGTTGAGTATTGACCTATGAACCAGGAGGTCATGGTTCGATTCCCAGTCAGGGCACATGCCCAGGTTGCAGGCTCGATCCCCAGTGTGAGGCATGCAGCCGATCAATGATTCTCTCTCATCATTGCTGTTTCTATCTCTCTCTCCCTTGCCCTTCCTCTCTGAAATCAATATATATATATATTGAAAACACACACACACACACACACACACACACACACGATAAGTCTAGGGAACAGGGAGGAATCAAGGGTGAGGGCCAGGTTGCTGGTTTCAGCAGTTGGGGGTTGGTCCTGTCCATTTCCCTACAGTATTAAATATTTTTTGTTAAATATGCCTTTAAATACTTAACAATGTACTCTGTGCCTATGGAGCATAAGAGATGTAGCCGTTTCTCTCTCCCTGAGCACTTTGACTCTTTCCAATCAGTCATTCTTCATCGTGCAGAAAACTGACATGGAAATCCTGGAGCAGGAGTCTCGGTGGGAACTGCGAAGGCGGACCTGGGAGGTCAAAGAGAATGAGGATTTTTGAAACTCTGCCTACTGACACGTTGTTCTTTGGGAAGGTTTTATCTGTGAGCCTGCACATGTCCTTGTAGTTCCAACCAAGATGTTCTTTGTCTTGGGAGACAAAGATGGGAGCACAGTTTAATGAGATAGAAAGAGAGAGAAGCATTTCAGTTTAATGAGATAGAAAGAGAGAGAGGAAAGGGGAGGAGAGAAAGAGAGAGAAAAAGAAAGAAAGAAAGAAAGAAAGAAAGAAAGAAAGAAAGAAAGAAAGAAAGAAGAGAGAGAGAGAGAGAGAGAGAGAGAGAGAGAAAGAAAGAGAACCACATCACATTTTTGTTTTAATTGCATGTTGAATTATTGCCAACAAAGACTACTCACATATGTGTTTATTGGCTCATTGCACTTTTTTAACGAACATATTTCACTCTGGCCCTATGCCCATTTTTCTAGGGAGGTGGGGTTTTTTTACTTTTTGGTATTTGTTCCCCAAATTAAGTCCCTTTTCTTATTTTCTTTCTTCCTTCCATCCTTCCTTCTTCTTTTGTCAAAAGCAGCTCACTATTTAAAAAAACAGCAAATATACCACCCACCAGAAATAGTCATTGTTAAGTCTTGGCTATATATCCTTCTGAATACTTACACACACACACACACACACACACACACACACACACACAGATTTTTCATCAGGAAAATAGAATCAATTCCACATTATTTGT